TTTTGTCATTCTAAGACCAGATGCAACTCAGTTGTAGAGTTATGATTTGAATTCTCTTAACAAGCAGTGCATTGGGTTACCAAGCATCAGCAGTATCGTGCATAAACTAATCCACAGAAGGCTCTAAAACAGAGAAAATTACTCTATTTTACAAATTTTGTTTGTCTCCTTTAAACATGTAAATATTTTAGTGTTTTTAATTAATGAGTAGCTCCCCAAAAGTCGGCGTAACTATTTCCCTTACATGTTCCATGTGATTGCTCCCTGACTGGAGTTAATTGTGGCTTTTAATCTCTTTAAGTACCCCGAATAACAAGTGATTTTTTTTTCAGCAGTTTCCTGTCCTATACCTGCATGTAGATTGTGACAGCAGAACAGAGCAAACTGCACAGGGCTACGGCCAGCAGAGGAACCTTGAACCACGAGACCAAAATAAAAGAAGAGCAATATCTTTAAACGGCACATCCCCTTCCCCGTGCCGCACGACCCGTTTCTTTATCTGTAGCTGGGTGCGAAGGCAAATTCCACGCCCTGAGCCGGGCCTGCGAGGAGCCGGCGGCAGGTCCAGCATCTCTCGGCCGAGTCGGCGAGACGCGGGGCCGGGGAGGCGCGGCGGGGGAGACGGAACACCCCGCGGGACCCGGGCCGGCCGCCCTTCCCCGGGAAGGGCCTCCGGAGCTCCTCCATCCTTACCCTTCCCTTTCTTTGGCTAAAGGTCAGAAGAATTTACACTTCCTGACTCTGACGGGACAGGACGGGTCTGTGCGGGCTACCCACACCGGGAGTGGGGTGGGAGCCGGGGGAGGCAGAGCGGCTGCCCCCGCTCCGCCCGGCCCGGCCAGCTCTTGCCTCGGCGGGGAGGAGCCAGCCCGGGGCAGGCTGTAGAAGCCAGGGCTGGCCAGCCGCCAGGAAGTGTAAAATCCTGGCCGGTGGGTGGCAAATTTCGCCAGATCGCGGCGAGGAGGCAGCGCGTCCGTCCGTCTGTCCGTCCGTCCCTCGGCTGGCGGCGGCGCGGGACGCGGGGATCGGGGATCGGGGCGCTGCCGCCGCCCGCTCCGCAGCCCGGCCCCCGGTGAGTGCGAGCCGCGACCTCGGGCTCCGGCCCCTCTCGGACTGGGGTCTCGGGGCCACCCGCCCAGGGGGCAGCGGGGCTGGCGGCGATGCCGCCGGTGGCGCGAAGGGGATGTTTGGAGGGGGGCAGCTTGCGGAAGGGAGCGGGCTGGGCCGGCTCCCCTCGCTCGGCGGTGCCTCTGGAGCACAGCGCTGGCATAAGACCTGGGTAAGTTCTCCATTTAAAAATATTAAAAATAGACCCTCCGGCTCCATAGCGCTGCCGAGTGAGTCATTTCCAAACCAAATGTCTCCGTCTAACCCTTCCCCCCAGGAGACGCAATAATTCTGAAACCAAGGGTGGAGGGCAAGAGATTTTTCTCCCGTCTTTCCCTGAATAAATTGAATTAGCACGTAGCTGCTGCCATATGAGACAAAAGCCATAAGAGTAGATTGCCACCTGTTTGAAGAAGTAAAATGTATCTCCACTCTTTTCTCTCTTCTCTTGGACCTCTCTCGCATGGTGATGCTACCCGTCTTTCCACAACACCGGGAGCCCCTCTGCCCTAGGAATATTTAAAGTGCTTTCCATTTTTCGTGGGCATAATTTACTTCTCAGCTCTTACAACTGACAAACACATGCCCTGCCACCGTCTTCTCTGCGGGACATCAGTCACAGCCACACGTCATTCCAGCAGTGACTCCAGTCAACACAGCTCCTGACTGTCTGTGCTGAAAAGAATAGTCCAAAGCACAGCTATTTTTTTCCACCTTTCCCAGTCATATGATGGTTTGTTCATGTAAGTGGGCTGTCTTGACTAGAGGGATCTTTTGTTTGTCAGAAACAAGTGCTGAGCGTATTTATAGGCGATGCTGCAATTCTGTGGTGTGAAAGGTTTTGGTTATGCAGAACACATCGGTACCTGGATCAGCATGCAAGACCTGTTTATATCTTGCATATAGTGCTGTATGTGCCTGCATATTTAATGTATATACCCATAGATCGTATTTCATGTTGAGGCAGTATGCACAAGACACAGAAGCTGATATGCAGACTGTGTTTTTTTTCTAAAACAGATGCCACAGTCCAACTGTGCAGTAGCCCCTACTAGAATAGATCTAAATCAGAGGAGGCAAGACGTGATATACTGATGACCATCTAGCTGGGGTAAAGTTCTGTCTTCTGACCTCTGTGAAAAACTTCGTTAGCATTTTAACAACAAAAAGTGATCTATAGTTTAAAAGTCTGTGCAGTAAATTATACCAGCTATTTTACAGCCATGACAAGGATGTTAGGTTTGAGAACATGTTCTGTGGTAGCAACCCAAAGCTTAATGACCTTTCTGTGTAGATAAGTGGAGAATCGTGATGTAAAAGCATTTCCATTATTTTTTTTTCTTTTTTTTTCTGCTTAGATTCAATTTCTCCTGTTAAAGCTACTTATATTTTTTACAGCCAAGAGAAACCATTGTGATTGATTGACCTGTCACATAAGATGCAGAGAGATTCTTGCAGAAGGCATGCAACTTTTCTTTTAGCTGTAACATGGGGGACATTCATGAACTCAGGGCTTCTACCAAAGTACGGAACCAGAAAAAAGAAAATATTCTCTTGTGTTCCAAAACACAAGAAAAAGCAGACTTCAGATCTCAAGTAAATGCAAATTTCACAGTAATCAAGGACAATGTATGCTCTTGATACACAGTTCATAGACAATGAATGGCTAAGTAAGGGCAGTTCTTTTATTTGGGTCAAAAAACATCTGCTTTTTAGCGAAGCGAGAAAGAAACTTTTCCAGAGGTGGATTATTCTGTGGTTGTCTATGATGGAGGTGTCTGCAATCTCTTACTGAAATAGCTGTCAAGTCAGGTAAGATGTGTTGCATTGAGCTCTACATGGATAGTACCTTCAAGTTGGAAGTGCCAAGGGTGAACAGGGAAGTACAAGTGCACTCAAGCATTTATGGGAGTCTTTTTTGCTCTGTCAGTTTAATAGCAATAATTCCTTTTGGCAATTTTGCAACAGAGCTAAGGTGACAGTTCCACATTTGTCTTCCGCCTTCAAGATAAAATTCTTTGTAATTACTTTTATTCAGTGTGTTTATAGGCTGTCTGATATCACCTGAAACTCTGATAAGACTTTCAACGTTCGCTTTCAAAGTTCAGCTGGAACACAGGTAGTGTTTACTGACTCCTCCGTCTCTATTGGAAGAATTTCAATTCCTTAAATTTACACCAACCAAACACACAGAACAGGTGAGATATTTAATCTTTTATTGGGTGTAGCTTCCATTCTTACGGAAAGAGTGGAGGAATGGGACTTGAATGCATCATCAAGGTTTTAAAAGTAGAAGACATATAAGTACTAGAATTTTATCCTTTTTGAACTCATATTAAATGAGTTCAGTTTTCATGTGACTTTTTTAGGTGCCAGTGGTGTTTGTGGCTATTTTTCCCCACAATGTATGGCCTTTTGTACTCATTGTTTCTGCTGATGTGAGTTCAAGCATAAATATGCACTAAGTATATGCTGAGTTCCAGGGATTATTCAGTAGGGCGTAACAACCTGTTCTTACTACACAAGATGGGTTTAAATACAGCTCAGAGGATGGAAGATTGTTCTGAGGATTTTAGCAAAACTCCGGTAACACTAGAGCTGGCTGAGGATGGGCTGTGATGTATAAGCAGCTAATTAACTACCATGTTTTGTAGCCCCAGGGTTAAAAATGTGGGGCATGCTTATGTGTTTAATAACAACAACAGGAATGTGAAAACAAAAACCAAATGAAAAGGAATAAGAATAAAGTGCAGGACAGCACAAAGATAATAGATTGTCATTCTAGTTGCAGCAGAGATAGTTGTGAAAATAATTGCAGTTGCTGATTGATTTTGATAAAGTGTATCCTGAATGGTTTCCCATCAATATTCCTATAAAATTAAACATGTAATTACATTTAGACTGATATGACCTTTTTGCTTCTGAAACTGTGTTTTTCTCTCACTTCATGCTTCTGCCTTACATAAAATTATAGAAATATAGAATGTTTTGGGCGAGAAGGGACCTTAAGGATTATCTAGTTAACCTTTCACTGGACCAAGTTGCTCAAAGCACCATCCAACCTAACATTGAACAATTCCAGGGATGGGGCAAACCAAAAGTTCTCTGGGCACCTATTCTAGTGCTTCATCTCCTGCAGTACAGAGTTCTTCCTAATATCTAATCTAAACCTACCCTCTTCCAGCTTAAAGCCATTCTCCCTTTACCTGTCACTACATGCCCTTGTAAACAATTCCTCACCAGCTTTCTTGTAGCCCCCTTTAAGTACTGGAAGGGTGCTCTAAGGTCTCCTCAGAGCTTTCTCTTCTCCAGGCTGAACAACCCCAACTCTCTCAACCTATCTGTGTAGGAGAGATAGTCCAGTCCTCTGATCATGGTTCTGCTCTAGACTCACTCCAGCAGGTCCTCGTCCTTATTGTGTTGGGGCCCCCAGAACTGGATGCAATACTCCAAGTGGGGTCTCATAAGAGCAGAGTAGAGGGGGAGAATCATCTCCTTTAACCTCCTAGCTATGCTGCTTTTGATGCAGCCCAGGATATGGTTGTCTTTCTGGGCTGCAATTGCACATTGCTGGGTCACGTCAAGTTTCTCATTAACCAACACCCCCAAGTCCTTCTCCTCAGGGCTGCTCTCAATCCGTTCTCTGCCCAACCTGTAGTTGTGCTTAGGATTGTCCTGACCTAGGTGCAGCCTCTTGCACTTGGCCTTGTTGAACTTCAAGAGGTTTGCATGGGCCCACCTCTCAAGCCTGTCAAGGTCCCTCTGGATGGCATCCCTTCTCTATGGGGTGTCAGCTGCACCACACAGCTTGTGGCCATCAGCAAAGTTGTTGAGGGTGCACTCAGTCTCACTGTTCATGTTAACAAAGATGTTAATCAGTGCTGGTCCCAGAACTGACCCTTGAGGAACAACATTCCATGTCCAGCTTTGAGCTGGACAGTGCTTGACACTGCTTTCTGCTTGGACAAGGAGCCATTGACTGCAACTTTGAGTGTGATCACTTTCAAGAAAGCATGCCTGTGGCTTGTCTGTTCCCCTCTTGTAGTTTTATGAATTTGTTTTTGAATTTCACTGCATTTGACCAGGGAAGAAGTGGTCTAAAAGGATAAAGTTTCTCTGAGCTTTGTGGAAATATATTTAGAGCCCGTGCTGAAAGAATAGCTGTTTTATGGGGGTTATCTCTTCCTGCATGGGTGAAATTCAGAAGGCAGTGTGATGCTAAGTTACTTTCAGGGTTTGAAAACGTATTTGTTTATTCAATCTGAAGGCCTTTCCTACAGAAAGAGTTTGATAGCTTACTCATACTTGTGTCACTCAGGTGATACATTCCTGGCCTGTTTTTCTCCAGTAGGGGTGCACTTAGTACTGCTATTAAACACTATTCCTGCCAGTCAAAGGAAATAATGAATTATGTGTGTATCACCTTTTTTAAATTTTTTTTTCATGTTTTCATGCTTGTTCCCATTTAGCTGTATTGATTAAAAATCATTTGGTAATCAAGCAAGTTTAAAACTAGTACATCTGGGAATAACATAGGCCACTGCACTGGGGGCCTGAGACCTTGGGAGTACTGCTTTGCTATTAAATCAGTTGAGGGTTTTGGAGTGTAAGAGCTTGAGTAAAGCCTTGGTATAGATTTGGAGACAAAGCAATGATGATTTTAAATCCGCTGTGTCTTAGTGGGTAAGACTCAAAAGAGGGGTGCAGATAGATTTGCTGATTAAAAAAATTCTGTTCTAGCTTCTGTGGATTAGAACAGCACTGCAGTGTTCCATTTTGAAAGGATTGTTACTGCAGCTGTCATGGATACGACTTTATGGAATACCTGAAATACCTGAATGCTTTCAGTTAATCAAAAAATGGTGATAGATCTCTTCTTTCCCCCTTCTTATCCCTCCCTTCTGCTATTGGATTGGGTTCTTATTTTACCAAATAGATTAAGTCTATTTTTTCTTTCTTAAATGAGTACATCAGTTTTATGATTCTGAACATTTACTCCATTTTTGTTTCTTGCCTTTCATAGCTACATTTTTGGTGTGGTAGTTGCTTATTTAGGCAATACAATTTATTTCAACCTGATTTAATCAGCTGTTACTGCATCTAATTCAAATTTGTCTCTACCTTCATACTGGTCAGATAAGTAATTCTAATGAGGTGTTCTCTTATTCTCCA